CTCCCAAATTACCTTTTGTCCACTAGTCTCCAGTCCATTTTAAACACTATCTAAACATGTTGCTAGGTGATCTGTCTTCTAGCAATATTTAAATAGTAGGTCAAACTGTGATTAAGGAATGCTTTTGCCTAGCTTACAAAAAACTGAATTGGGTCCATCAGAGATAAAACATCAACAAAGCTCTATTAGGAACCAGTTTTAATGTACAAATAACATTATATTTTATTGTATTATTATATCCAATGCTTCCACTTTGCTTATGCTGTTGAAGTACTGCTAAGTGACTTGTAGTATGAGGTTAATAGTGTATGATGATCTGATTGGTCACTTATACAATCTTATGCACTTATGTAAGGGTACAATCTGGCTTTTTTATACTGGACTTCTCTCCTGTGCTTGAGCTTGGGCAAGAAGCGAGCTGAGCTGAGATCAAGCCCAAGAATGCCTTGGAAATGCTGGCAGCTTCTTTATGCAACATACGCAAAGTACTCAATTCTGCAAGTCACATCAGAATCAGAATTTTGCCATTTACAACAGGCACACGAACAACATGCAAACAAACCAAGCTCACAGACTCTCTTCTGGACAGACATCCATGTGAACATTCCATGCAAGGTGAACACAGGGAAAGTAGGCCAAAGTCTGGGGAGTCAAGCCAAGGAAAACGGCAGATTCCCACCCCAAAACCAGATTCCTTATATATCATTATGCTACGGCAAAACTAGTTGCGTAGGTGGAGTGGCAGAGTTGGAAGCTTTCCTTGATAAGGCAGTTTTACAGTCTCCAATATCAAATCTAATTGCACCAGAGTATTATAAAGGGAACAGAAACTGTGTGTCCTTTAAAAAAAAAAAGTCATTTGTTCTCAGATACAGATATACTCAGAAATGTCACTGTGAATATCTAGGTTCAACAGAGGTTCCACAGGTGGGGCTTTAAACAGTTTCTTTTTGCATTTCCAGGACTAATTTAATAGTACGTATTCATAAGCCTTAGTCAACTTTTCTATAACTCCAGTGCTTAACCAAGTTAAGTCCTCGAACTAGCTTCCTAACTGAATATATATGATGTTAACTTTCTTAGTATAACTTATTTCAAGTGAAGAATGTGCAAAATCTGGCCTGTCCAGACATAGTAAACAAAAGTCTTTCATGTTGAAAGCAGTGCACCCTCAGCCCAATCAATACTCAGTGAGCTCAGATCAGACTACCTTTTTCAGTATTTTGCTAGAAATGGCAAGGTAATTAAAGAAAAAGCAGGGGGGAGCTAACCACAACACACACACACAGGCAGTGTGGGAAGGAAAAAGCAAAGAAGAATACCATCTCAGTGGTGGCTAAACTGAAAAGATGTTAGGAAGGGCACAGGTGCTAACTATGAAAATGGAGATTGTTTACATATGCTTCCTCATAAAGTTGAAGGCATTCCAAAGGGAAAGCCAGGTGTGTCTAGTCCCTAATCCTTTCAGCAAACACTATAGCAAGGGCAGTTCATTTCAGTTATGGCACAATGAATGGGCTACTGTTCCACTAATTTTAGGCTGTGGTCTAGAGTCATCCGGCTGCCTTCCTTAAAGCTAGGAAAATTGAAAGGACAAAAAAGTAGACACCTGGAAATTACCACAAGCATCTTCCCTAATCTTTACAAAAGGCATTCAACAGTTGCTAATTTTCAGCTTTCCTGGCACAGCCTTTATCACCCAGTACACACATTGCCATCTTGCTTATCTAATCTTTCATTTATTTACCTTCCTTGAGCAGTCTATGCTCACTTGTTCCTTGCTGTTCCTCTTCTATTCACCCTTTTCATCATAGCCCCTTGCTCTAATAGAGCTATTAAACTCTTGCATCATCAGTCCTGCTGACTGAAAACAAGTACATGCAGAACAGGGTATTGCAAAGAGATGCTGTAAGATTTAATTGGCCGTTTCCTTTCTTATTGGCACCTTCAATGAGTACCTGAATACATAAAGAGTAATTCATTTTAAATGTGGATTTTTAATTAGTTCCACTGCTTCTTTGAAAATCCAAGAAAACTAAAGAACCACCCCCCCACCGCTGCCCTTCAACATTTCTTTGATTTCATCATGCCCCTTGCCCAGGGCTAAAGAAAAATAAGAAAGCTTAGCCAAATACTGTACTAAAGAAATTATAATCTTATCAAGTAAGCATATTTATATGATATTTTTGTCCTGCAGAATTTATTCTGCTCCTTCTAACCATGGGGAGAGCTAACAAAACTATCACAAGGCACTGAAGGTCTGCTACTCACTACTGGAAATCTTACTCAAAAACTTGCACTGGCTTCTGAGATTTCTCCAAGCACTGCCCACTTGTTTGCATGCATAGTAAGTGCTAGAAGCATGGTTTGATAACTTTTTCAATGAAATATGAGAATCTTATATAAGGAAGCTGCACTTACAATACCACAAGAGCATTGAAAAGAATATCAAACAGAAATACGTTCTTGCTTTCTTTTGTAGTGCACATACCTGAAGTCTCTGTCCCTTCTCTAAGTTATCATACTCTTATGTGCCCCCAAAGTAAATACGTTCATTCTTGGGTGTTTTCATTAAAAGAAATGGAGGGGGCAAAGACATCTTCACTCTGTAATATCCTACAAGTGACTTGTTCAAGGTTATTTAAGTGAATGTGTAGCACAGACCCACAATTTAGAGGAGACCAACAGGCAAGAATGATAAAATAACTGCATGGTGACATCACTTTTTCCTTGTTTGTTAACTACAGTTTGATTCAGCAAAAGTTGGCAGCCCATGCTGCCAGGCAAGCCACAACTCCACCCCCAAAAGCTGTCATTATATTTAACTCTCAGTGAGGCGATCACACTCACATACCATATCATTAGTGTTTTACTCACAACCTATATAGGCATTGCTAATTGGCTAGTTTACAATTTTTTTCACCAGTCAGAGTCATAGATCCTGCTTACAGAGTCAAGGTTGGTCAACTTAATACCAGTAGCAATGAGGTCATTATAAATAAATGCTTGTAAAGAATATATCCTTTGTGAGCTGGTATCTTTCTCTCCCAATCTCTCTCCCTTTTTCCTTCCCAGAAGATCATGACCGGAGCCTTCTAACTACATACCTAGCCAACCAGGACTGGCTCAGTGATATAAAAAAATATAAAGGTTGTAAGCAAGAGACATCTATCAAGTTAAGGACCCTCTACTTGTGGAGTCAGTTTTTGCCCATACCAGGAGCTGATTCCAAACTAAATTCCCCTCCTCAACAAATTCCTCAACAAATGGAGTTAGCTTCACTTTCAAGGGAGCCTGTGCTGCTTATGGGCCAGAAAGCAGAATTAGCAGGCATTAATTAACCCATCCACTTGTTGACATTTGGCAGAACATGGGGCTGAGAAACTCACATCCCTCCCCCACTGACCCTCCCTGTTCCACTGAGTCTCTGCCCAAGCCAGAGGAGCACTGGTGCCAGCCACCTGGCTTATTTCGCAGCTTGTTAACCTTGACATTTCAGCTAAGCAATCTCACCCCACTTCTTCCAGTTAAGATTCAGAATCTGAAATGTCCTCCTTGGAATGTTGTATTTTGGGAAAAGCAGGCTCAGTCCCCACGGTATGTCCATATGTCCGTGACGTACTATTCCCATAGACAGGACATTATAGGCAGACGAGGAGGGGCAATGAATGAGAATGAGAAGCAAGTTTAGGGAAACATTTAACATTCCCCATGATACAAAAATGTGCACATTTGGCTTCTCAACTCACAGTTTTACTCACAACCTATATAGGCACTACACATATTTGAACAAACTTTTTATGGTTGGTCTCATTAAATTTCTCTATAGGTCTTAACTTCCCCTTAAAGGTATTAAACAAAGATGGAAATGAAGAAAGGGAAAAGAAACTAGTATTACTATGCTATAACATTTAAACAACTAAACCAAATCTAAATACAAGGAGTTCAATGGTCTTTAAAAACAAACAGCAAACCTACAAGCCTTTTAAGAAATCTGATCTAAACCTTAAAATTCACTTTTAGCATGGACTGATACCTCAGCACACACAAACCACATGAAACAAAGAAGTGGATTATGTTTTAGTTGACAAAGTGCTCCAAAACTTGTCAAAAGCAAGCTGTGCTAGAATGAACTCTCACTGGATAAAATTTTAACAATTTAGTGAGTGTTAGCATTTGAGTTAAATAAGAACTCCTGCTGACAGGTATTTTCCATTTTATAATCCTGGCAAAGTTTCTCTACAGCCACAATAGTACATTTTCCAGTTAGAAAACTGTCCTCACCCTACAGTTCCATATGAAGCTATTCTTTCATATGATTCATTATATGGTACTTTTAACACATGATATAATCTTCATCTTTTTGCTGAATCAAAATTCTTACATACACAAGCTCTAAACCAACAGTCTGATTAAAACTCTGTGATTTATGAACAAAAATAAACTAATGCAACATCTGTGAGACAGATGACTATGATCCTGTGCACCTTCACTCAAAAATAAGACACATGCTGTATTCGGTGAGGCTTACTACAAAGTGTGCATGAAATTGAAGTCTTACTTAAGTCATTGTACCATAAACCGTCACAAGTATGAATGCTGCAGAAGTCATTCCCCCACCCCACCCCCAGTTTAGATCCAGTAACATTTACAACAAAGGTGTTCAAGCACAGGTGTGAATGAAGGATATTCTTCATTGCTCATTTGATTCTGAATGTTAAAGGAACAGAAAGGCAAGGAACTTGCCAAATGAAATCAAGTCCTTTACTGAAGCTGACACTGTATTTTCTGAAGTCCTCCTAAATATATCAGTGTGATCTTGCACTCTTATTTCGTCAAGAAAACAAGACAGAAATCCTAATCCCCTTAACATGGATGCTACTTTTGCAGTTGATCCCTATTAATCGCACCCCAAGTGAATTAATAGCCAAACATGTTCCATATTAAGAATGCTTCCTCTTCTGACACTCATATCAAGAAATATTTTTAGAAATTGTTACCTTAATACTTTGCCAACCGCCTGTAGAACCATTTTGCAGCTTAATCCAGATTTGGGAGTTTGAGAAAGTACAGCTCTTTCGCCACTGAGATTACAATGATCCCCAACCATGTTAGAGAAACAGGGGGAAAGGGGGGGAAAGTTGGGAAGTGCCAGTACAGACTCGAGTAGCTTTACCAGATCTCCCTTCTTCCCTCCTCAAAAAACTAGTCCAACCACATTCACCGAGTTTACATAGCTTACTTCACTCTAACCCTCCCTTCGTCCTTTCTTCAGCCAATGAGAGTGTTGCAAAGGAAATACACATACAAAAAAACCTCGGCTGGAAAAGACAAACAGCTGCTCCTTTCTACAAATCCCAAGTAAAAGCCAAGCCTGAGGAGCCAATGCCAATAAGGAAGCATTTGAATTGGCCTTTTCAGTCTGGCGCCGGCTGTGCAACAGGACAAGAGAAGTAGTGTGAGGGATAAGCAAGCTTCTTTCAAGCACCCTGTTTGCAGTACAGCATTATAGAGATATTACATGAACGGAAGAGAGGAGAGAGTTTTTCTTTTCTCTGAACAATTAACCCTCCCCTCCATTGGTGATCTGTGGAGCATTAAAGAACAGAGCCCATGTCTGACATAGCTTTGCTTTGTACAGATGCATATCACCAATCAAGACATGAATTCAACTAAGGTTGCAGCATTAGTTAAGTATTAGTTAAGTTCACCAAGTCAAGTACTCTGGAAAATAACCAAGATGATTAAGAGGTTGGTGAAAGCAACTTTGTCATAACTTTGGTGAAAGCAATAACTTTGGTGGTGAAAGCAGTAAGTCTGTCATAAAGTTCATGGCAAGAGTTTCAGACAACACCAATTGCAAATATTCTCCTTCATCAAGACCAATTTACGGGCACATATTCTCTCATACAACTTTTTCCCCCACTCAGTCATTTACCCTTTAGGGAAACATCCTTCATGACTAAGAAGCCCAATCAGATATTGAAATGATTAACTAAGCTGAACTTACTTGCAAAAGAACTAGAAAAATACTTTGCCTCTTAGAATCATGCCCACCTCACACACAGAATATGTTCCTCCAGAAGTAGCACTATTCAAGCACGACATGCCAAGTTCCATGTTCTTCACCCTTTTGCAAACCATAAAAATGTGTGTAACAGTGGTTTCATATAAACATTTAACTAATTGGAATATGCAAGGGGTAATACAGTAATTTGCCTAAATCAGCACAAACCAGATATTGCATATCCTCTTCAAATACTGTGACATCATTTGTATTAGCACTTGACATATGTTTTACTACTAGAATATGTATTTTCTTTTCTTTTCTCCATTTTCTGTGTTATTTTAAGGAAGTTATATGCTTTTATTGTTTTGTTTTTTTAAAGAGTTTCAGAGTAACTGCTGCTCAGTTTAACCCCTAAACAACAAGAGCTCTGGGTTCACATATGTATCCCATTCAACAAGCCAATCTTAGGTTGTTGGTTAAAAGCAAATGTGAAGTGTGTGCATGTGTACAATAAATCATGGGTTAATTAATTTGCCACCATGTGTTAACTGGGTTCATAAGTGAACTTTCTCAGGAAAATCAGTGTTAAAATACAGAGAGATAAAGCCATAAAAGTATGAGTACTACCGTTTAGTTTCAATGGCATGGATGTTACCACAAAGCTAAGCGATATAGAAATTCAGATAAAACATTTCATGAAAACATGAAGGAAGGGTTTCAACACTGCTTAAAGGCAGTACTGTGCCATACAGCAAGAGCTTTGTTTAAATATCTTCCCATCAACAATAATGACTCATTCAACACCAAGTGTATTTACTAGGAAATACTAAAATGATCAGCGCTTTGCGTTTGGAAAATCACTTTATTACAAACTGTTTCTCAATTAGCTATTTATTTGCTTCTTTTGTGGTCATAAAAATATTCAGTAGGCACCAGAATATTACTATCAGGAGGCCTAGAAGGAAAAAACACTTTCACTCAAAAATTTAAAGTAGCAAGGGTTCAGTTTTCTGACCAAAAAAAAAAAAGGGGGGGGGTGATTACGGATTACCATTTAGGAGACAAAGAAAAAAATCTCCACTGTAACTCCCATTTGCAGTACTTTGTAGTACTTTTCCCCCAAATGTTGTTTTACAAACTGGAACTGAAAGGGATTTAATTGACATTGTTACCTCTTTATACTCAACACTATGAAGGTCCGATGTATTTTTACTGAGGCACAAAAATTAAGCCAAAAAAAAAAAAAAGGCCCCGTCACATGCTGATTCTACAAGTATACATCCCTTTTGCTGTGACAGACCTAAATAAGTACTAGTGTAATCCAATGCCTCCAGAAGTCAGCATAAGCAGTTGAAGGAGTCTACCTAAACACAATTCCAGTGCCACATGATCTGATTAAATCTGTTTCTGGAAAACCAACACTATCTCAAAGACCAAGGTGTTGTCAAGCATCCCTGGGGTAAAGTTGTGAAAAAACACCAATCAGGATTGGATTTTTTTTTTTAAAGTCCCAAGCTATGAATATCCCCAGGAACACGGTAAAATCCATTATTATGAAATGGAAAGAATGTGACTCAACTATGAATCTGCCTAGAGAAGGCCATCCATCAAAACTCAGTGGCTGCATAAGGAGAGCATTAGTCCGAGAAGCAACCAAGGATCTAATGGTACCTCTGAAGGAGCTACAGAGATCTGTAGCCGAGATGGGAGGAACTGTCCATGAGATCTTTCACCTAGAAACTCTGCAAAGCTGGGCTTTATGGAAGAGTGGCAGGAAGAAAACCATTACTGAAACAAGCTCATATGAAAACCTCTTTGGAGTCTGCAAAAAGGTATCTGGGAGACACAAACTGGTCAGGATTGAAGGCAAGGTGGACAGAGCAAATAGCAGAGCAATTCTATAGAAAAACCTGTTTCAGTCTGCAAGGGACCTGGCACTGGGATGGGGGCTCACCTTCCAGCAGGACAGTTACCCTAAACACACTGCTAAAGTAACACTTGAGTGGCTTAAACACAAGCAAGAAACTGAATGTCTTTGAACGGCCTAAATAAATCCCAGAACTCTGATAGAGAACCTGTGACAAGATTGGAAAGTGGCAGAAAACGGCCCAATGGTCCTGGACTAGTTTTGCCAAGAACAGAACAACACTGTGGGATCCAAATGTGTAAACCCAAGAAGACCTGCAGTAGCAATTGCTGCCAAAGGTGTTTCAACCAAGTACTGACCGGGGGGGGGGGGGGGGGGGGCGCATTACTATACAACCTATGAATGCCAGTTAGCTTTTGTTTACTGAAAGCTATAAATAAAATACTTTCCACTTTCACTGGTGTCTTCTGTACTTCAAGTGGCAACAACACATTAACTCAATTTCCAGTTCAGGTTGTATCTCAAAAAATGTGGGAAAGTCAAGCGTGTGGATATTTCTGCAAGGCAATAGACCTTAAATTACGAGTAACCCATGGTTTGTTGCTGGGCTGTGAATTGAGGGTTCTTGGCAGCCAGCAAAATGGTTTGTTAGCACAACTGTGTTCAGACATGTTTTGACAATAACCCACATGTCAACAACCACCCACACTCAAGCCTACTGTAGGTTATCTGAACACAATCATTGACATGGGTGTGCATGACTTGGCAAGTCACCATGGCTAACTAACTTTGGTGGGTTTTGTTGTCTGAACCCAGACCCTTACTGTAGGAATGGCTTATTTTTTGGCATCAAATGACCTTTTTTAAGAGGTTGCTCAATCCAAAATGGGTTGCTCTGTTATCTAAACCTGGGAGTACAATTTCATTGTGAGCTGCAGGAAACCAGTAGTGAGCCTCTCGCATTAGTGGTAAAAGCCTCTACTTCTCTTCAAAGTTTTATCAGTGACAACCTCTCCAGCATTGCCCAAGCAGCCCTTTGAAGGAACCACCATTGGTTTGCCACCTTTTTCTTTCTTTTTTTTAGCCTTAGGAAATTGCACAAGTGTTTTTTTAAGTTTTTTATTACTATTGTTTTTGTTGGTCTGACACAAGTACACTCATCTGGCTTACCTGGTCACTTTCCTGGAATGCTCAAAGCATTTACTGTTGCATTACTCTGAGTTTCTGACTGTTAAGAAAAACAAATCCTAAGGCAACCGAATGGAGAATGCAGGCATAGGTACCACTGGTATTAATGTTCCATTTGCTCCATCTCTGCCTACCACTTCTATAAGGGTTTTTTTTAAACTGTTTGGAATATTTGCACACTTTTGTGAATCAGAAATATGCTAAAATTTAATGTGGGAGAAATCTGCACACCTGTAGCAATTGAACAATTAATAAAGGTGCATAATTTTATCCTCCCTTGCATGTTATTACAACTGTCAGGAATCCATTGAAGGGGTAGGAAGTGTTAATATCTCCACATTCTGGAGTAGCTGGAGAGCTTAGGAAGTTTGAAAAAGTAGAGGGGGCAATCAGAACTGTCAGCTGAACACTTGTTTATTTATTACATTTATAACCACTCCATCACCCATAGGGCTCCCTGGGCAGTGTACAGTATAAAAATATTAACAATAAAACAAAATGCATGGAACTCGGCAACTCAGTGAGGCTATAACAAGAAGTAATACAAGTTAAAACACAATTGCCACTTGGAAGCATCAATAAATGCCACATTAAAACCAATCTTTAGTTAATTATTAAAATATCTGGTTTTAAGTTAAAGCAAGTTTAATCCAGTATTAAAAGGAGAACAGGATACTGCCAGCTGACCCTCCTTGGGGAGCATGTTCCACAGAAAGGGTGCAAACATAGAGAAGGCCCATCTCATGATGACTGCCCGCCCACCCACTCCCTCCCTTCCCTTAGCAGTGGTTCCTTAAGTAGGACTCCACTGCAGATCTTGGAAGTTCAGGAAGGAACATACAGAGAAAGGTGCTCCATTAAGTAACTAGGTCAGAAACCATTTAAGGCTTTAAATGTTAGCTTCAGCACTTTAAATCAGGCCTGGACCTCAACTAGTAATCAGTGCAGCTGGTGGAGGACTGCCATGATAGGGTCCCGTGGGCCAGTCCCTGTTATCAGCCATGCTTCCCTATTCTGAACTAGCTGAAGTTTCTGGACTGTCTTCAAAGCCAGCCCCATGTAGACTGCATTACAGTAAATCCAGTGGGAAGGTACTACAGCATGGATAACTGTGGCAAGGCTCTTCCTTTCCAGGTAGGGATGTAGAATCAGAAAAAAGCCAGAAGATCACTTTGTCAGTGGGGAGATATTGTCTCCCCCACTCCAGTTTTGGTGCACCTAAGTTTGCTAGTCTTTCCCATGCTTTTGAACTGTCAGCTCAGCAACTGATCCCTGCCTACTGTGCACAGATTAACATACACACAGTCCCACCATGTCAATTTCTATAAACATCAACCTCCTCCATGTTGTTGCTCAGTCTGAAAGCTGAAACACATGAAGGAAATTAACCAGATAAATCTGCACATATGAGACAGCTCTTAAGTGCATAATTGGGAAAGACTGACAAAGAAAGAAAATATCAACACATTGTGCCATTTCCTGGGGTTGGATTTCCTTTTTAAACAACTATAATCCCCAACTGTGACTTTTTGAGACTTTAAAAATTCAACCAACCAACCAACCAACCAATAGTGGTTGAAGCAGGACAGGAATAATAAGATGGGCTGTGTTGTAAAGAAGGAGTCCAGCTGGAGGACTAAGAGGGAAGGAAGGGGGAAACAACCTACAGTGAACTCAGTCATCTGTCAGGTGCTTATTGCAAGATGAGCTAGTGTTTTATGCAATCCTTTCTGCTGTATCATAAGAAATATGATAAAGAAGAAATATATAAATTGTAAATTGTAAATAAATAAATATCTCGGTACTGTGAATTGCCATTTTCTGTTTGTACTGCTGACCAAACAGGCATACTAAGTACTTCAGAGAAAGCAATCCCACTCACAAAATCAAAACAAGTCACTATGACTTAAACAAGGCAAG